ATAGTCTTAAAGAAAGGCGTATAGACTACTCTAAGGTTATTATATTAGAAAAGGATAGCTTATATAATCTAGAAACCTATCTTATAGCTATAGTAACCCTAGATATTTATATTAAGATTCTATTATAGAAGGTTACTTAAAGTAGACAGCTTAATAACTATAGACCTATTTATTTATAACCTTATCTTCTCTATTGCTATATATAAAGAATATTAGTTTACTATAGTTACTAATAAGTAATAATATATCTCTATACAAGGCATAAATCTCTCTTAGCTACTAAGCATAAGAAGATTATAAAGGCTATATAGGTATACCTTAGCATTATTAAAGCTAAGGTAGCTTAGTATTACTCTAGCTACTAAAGCTAATATTAAGTCTAATTAAGTATTTTGCCTTCTATAGTATAATAGGCTTAAGTGTATAACGTATAGCTATATCTACTAACGTCTTAAGGTAATATAGAGACATATTATAAATAGTATAGTAGGTAAATAACTAGAAGAAGAAAGGTAAATAAAGAGGAAGTAGCTAAGCCTAGGAAGGTAGTATAGGTTAATAGGTTTTATACTAGCGCTTCTTTTAACGTAGGCTAGCTACTACTAGTTCTAGGTAAGCTAGAGAGAAGAGGTAGATAAAGGCATCTATAATAGGCTAATAAAGGCTTTAGTATATAACATTATTAATAGATTTACTAAAAATAGGCTAAATAGGCTAAGGCTTAGGAAGACAATATTATCTATAATATAAATAATAAGCTAGAGTAAACTTATAGTAAAATATATTTAATAGGTAAGCACTTAAAAGAGAGGTCTATAAGTAAGCTCTAGGAAATAACTAAGCTAATTATAGAGGAGAAGAGTACTCTAGGCTATATAGACAGTAATAGAGAGGTCTTACACTAGGCGTACACTATCTTAACCTTCTACTAGGTAAAGAATATAGTATTATTTAAGGTATAGCAGAAGGAGGTATATATTAAGCTAGCTAGGCTGTTTAATAACTAGTTAGAAAATTAGACATAGGAGTAGTATAAGGGTGTCTAGTAGAAGCTACTCTATATATAGAACTATATATAGGAGATAGCTAAGGATAAGCAGCTACTATATTAGCTAATAGTAAGGTAAAGTAAACTATAGGACTACTTTAAAGCTATTATATAAAGGAGAAGGTACTTAACGTTAAAGAACTAGATAATACACTAATAAAGGTAAAGTAGGCTATACTTAAGATACTTATTAGTATTCTTAACTACTTAATCTAGTAGGGTAACTACTAGAATATCTTAATTAGTATACTTATAGTAATAGGCATTAGTAAAGACAGTAGCTAAGTAAAGTTAATAACTATATAACTATTTACTTAGCTATTATTAAAGTAAGCTAGATGCTTATTATATACTAGTCTACTATTAAGAGAAAGAACACTATAGTAGAGAAGGCAAAAGAGATAAGCAAAAAGGTAGCTAAGGACAAGGTCTATAGTATATTCTAGTATATATATAAAAAGGTATAGAGGTTTATAACCTAGACATTAGGTGCACCTAATACTAAGCTAACGCTAATAGATTAGATCTTAAAGATGTATATAATAGGGTTAATAATCTAGTATAGTACACTAATCCCTAGGTTAGTAGACTAGATCTAAGACTAGATGTTGTTCTAGAGGGCGCACTTTAGTATAGGCCAGCTGTTAGACATAATATATAGGCTAGTGTAAGAGGCTAAGGAGCTACTTACTAAGCTAATAATAATAGGCAAAAGGCTAAGCAAAAGAGAGAAGCTATAAGAGGCACTACTAGTAATCCTATAGGCGTCTATTAAGAATAACTATAGTAAGTAATAGCTAGGCTACTTATTCCTATAGGACAACTATAATATAGAGATATAGAAGGAGAAGAGATAGGTATTTAGCTAAATTAGAGTATTACCTAGACTAGTATAGCAGTAAGGCGTTAACAGTAGTAAGGTAGAAGAGGCTAAGCAGAAGGTCTTCTACTTAGTAGTATAGTAAGTATATAAGTATACTTTTAAGTAGTTCTATAAGTGTCTATAGCTACTTATATATATACTTAGTAGCTAACCTAGGTAGGTAATAAAGCTAGCAAGGATCTAGTATATTAATATAGTTAGTAAAGGGGTTTAGAATATACTTATATACAATAGTTCTATATACTTTATAATAGTATACTATAAGGGCTTCTATAAGATAGGCTAGGCTAAGGTAATTTATTAGTATTTACTATAAAAGGTAAGTAAACTACTAGTATAGTATCTTTAGCTAGTGCTACTATTCTAGTAGAAAGTATAGAAGATAGTATAAGAGACTAGGGGCTATAGTGTATACCTCTAGGCTAACAAGGTTCTATAGGGGGAAAAAGGACAGTAGGACAAGGAGATAGACTAGCTAGGTAGCCTTAGCCTAGACAATAATAATAATAACAAGGAGGAGGCAGTAGTAGTATAGATATAGAAGAAGGACTAGGTGTAAATAATAGACTAGTTATAGTAGATTATTTAGTAGTACAGTAGCTAGCTACTAGAAAGTAAGCTTAACGTTAGTATATAGTAGTATATTACTATTACTATTACTAACTAGTACTTAAATAAAGCGTTTAAATAGCCTAGTGTAGGTAAAAGTAGTCTAGATAAGGACAAGAAGGTAGATAATATTAATAATAGTGTATAAAATCTATAGGCTAAGTATAGTATAAGAATAGCTAGGCTTATCTACTTATAGTTACTTATATAGTTTAGTAGTAGGTTTATAGCTAAGTAGTAGTAGTTTTACTAGGTTAGCTAGTAGTAGCACTAGTTCTTTAACTTTAGGGTAGAAGACTATAAGGTAGAGGTAAAGTTAAAGGTTAAGGCTAAGCAGAAGGTAGAGCTATATAATAGTGTCTAGATAGAGGCCTAGCTCTAGTAGTAGGTATATCTATAGTAGGTCTATCTAGAGAGGTAGCTTTAGTAGATAATAGGCTAACTAGAGGTAACGTTCTAGGGGAACTAGGCGTAGGCTATCTAGGTAATTACTAATAGGTAGAGCCTAGTAGTATAGATTATAGGTATAAGCAGTAGTAAAAGTATATTATTTATACTACTAGCGTTCTACTTACTAGAGGGGGTAATAATTATAGTAACACTACTTATATTACTATAAATAGATCTATATATATACTACACTAAGGCTAGCATTAGCTTAGTAGTATAGTTAAGCTAAAAGGTACTATAGGTAGCTACTATTATATTTACTACACCTAAGTCTATAGTTAGTAAAAGGTTCTATAACTTTATCTTATAGCTATAGGTAAAGTAAGTACTTAACTAGGTTATTATTAATAAGTGCTATATAGTACTAGAGGGGAGTATAATGTTTTAGCTAAAGCTATAGGAGATTAGGGCAGTAGTATATAAGTTTAAGGTATAGATAGTCTACTTAATAGTAACACTTATACTAGGTAATAAGGCTATATTCTTCTATAGTATAAGGTTTAACCTATAGTAGGTAGTTATATTCTAGTCCTAGACAACATAGAAGAATATCTAGTACTTTATTCTTAACGTTAAGGGTTACTACAAGGGTAAAGAGGACATAGTTAAGGTCAAGGTCTATAAGGTTATTATTATATAAGTAGAGCAGTTATAGTAGAAAAAGGCAAAAGGGAAAGTAATTATCTATATAGATTCTATTAAGTAGGTAAAGTAGCTAGGTAAAACACTTAGCTACCTAATATTCCTTAGTAGTATTAATTTAGTTAAAGGTAAAGTAGTATAACTAGAGGTATAGTAGTAAAGCAGTAGGTTAAAGGGCGTTATTATAGTAACTAATACACTTAGGCTAAGGATTAATATACTTAACGTCTAGGTAGTAATCTACACTAGGATACTATATATACTATAGTACTTTATCTAGGAGAGTAGTAGGGCTAAGTAAGATAGTTAGCTAAGTGCTTTAGTAGTAGTATAGTAGGCTAAGAACAAAGGCTAGTAAAGAGAAATAGTAGTAAAGGAGTATATAGTAGGCAGTAGGTACTAGTAGGTAGTACTAGACTAAGTTATAGATAAGAGGATAGACTAGTTCTACTATAAAAATAATAAGGAGGTATAATATATACTAGGGGTAGTAGTAGGCAGTAGCTAGTAGTAAGTAGTAGTGTTTTTTATAGTGTCTAGGTAGTAAAGTATAGCTAAGTAGAGTAATAGAAGTAGTTTAACTACTAGTAGCTTAAGAGGAAGTAGATATAAGAAGGTAAAAAGTTAATATATTTCTTTAGTAGCTTTACTAAGTGTAAAATAAATATATTCTATACTATAGAGAAAAGAATATAATAATAGTAGTAAGTATATATTCCTAGTATACTTATAAAAGGCGTTAGGCTAGTAGGCATAGGTGCAGTAGGTATTTAACTTACGTAGGCTAAGATGTTTACTAAGTAGTACTTTAAGAGGTTCTCTAGCTACTTCTAATATAGGATACTATAGTATATATATAAGTATTAGGAGGCTAAGGCAGATAATAGTAGTTAGTTCTTAGCTAGGCTAAGGGCTTACTAGTTTAGTATAGCACTAGTAGCTATATTTATAGGTAGTATATTATAGCTTCCTAAAGTAGTAGGGCAGTAGATAATAGTTAATACTATAGATAAGGAGGGGTCCTATAGGAGAAAGAGGTAGTATACTACTAGCTAGGTAGTAAGGTCTAATAGGGCAAGATTAAGGCTAGTTATCTCTGCTGTATAATAGCTTTACTATAGAATAGGGTAATAGAGGAGGAGGAATAGGCTTAGTAGGCTGTATACTATATAAAGTAGAGGGGGTAGCACTATAGAAAGCTAGAGAAAATAGACAGGGTGCTTAAGATAAAGTAGTATATTATCTAGTAAAAGTATAGTATTTATAGTAGTTAGATTTAAAATAGTAGTAAAAAGACTAGGAAAAGTAAAAAGTAAAAGAGGGTTAAATATATATAGGTAGGTAAATATTATTATATATATAAGGTATAATAGTATACTGTTAGTATATAGCGTTTATAGTATAGGTAGAGAGCCTAGAGGAAGAGGTTATATAGGTAAGCAAGGTAAATAAGATATATAGGTTAAGATTATATATAAGGTTAAGGTTATAGGAGTTAAAGTAGGTTAAGGTTAAAGATATAGTAGAAGGCTAAGGTCTAGTAGGTAAACTAGCTATATAACTATATTCTCTACTACTAGTATATATTATTTATATACTATAGTTAGTAATAAATAGGAGTTAAGTTTATTATAATAGGGGGGTTAAGTTTATTAAGATGCCTAGGTTAGGTCTATTATAATTTTAGCACCTAAACTTACCTAGAGTAGGATAAACTAGTAGCTAAAACCTTAGACTATATAATTTTAAGACAAGGCTATAGAGATAATAGTTTAGAAAAAAGACATATATTCTATAATAAGGGGGGGTAGAGATATAGTAGGCTACTAGTAGGCATAGGCCTATCTAGGCTAATAGTGTAGACTAGCTATTGCTAATCTAATAATATAGATAATAACATAGGGAATAAAAAGGAGCAGAAAAGAAAAAGGGGATAGAGTAAGAAGAGGAAAAATAGGGTACAGAGATAAGTGTAACCTATATAATTAGCTATTAATAGTATAGAAAGATAACCTATAGAGGTAGAACTATTTATTCTTTTTTAGCTATACAGTAGGAGGGAGGTAGGCTAAAAGGTAATAAAATAAGAGCCTAAGTTTATAAGAAACAGGTTAAGGTTAAATAATAATAGAAGAGGTATAACCTAGTATTTATATTAAGTTAAGTGTTAAGGTTAATATTAAAATAAGTATAGTTCTATATAGAAAGAGGTAAAGTTAATTTTATATATAGGTTATAATAATAGGATATAAAAGAAAGGTAATATATATTAGAATAAAGATAAAGATAAAGCTAGTTAGAAAGAGTTTATAGTACTACTTTATTTATATTACTATAATATTTTTATATATAGATATATTTATTAGATTAGTAGCGTATATCTATATATATAGGTAGATAAGAATAGTATATTAGTATATAGTATAACATAAAAAGCAAGTGAGAAGGAAAAGGATATATATTAGGTTAGTAAATAAGCTTAGCGTAAGGTAATAAGCATAGGAAGAAGAAAGCAAGGTATACGTTAAAGAGGTAATAAGAATAAGAATAAGAAAAGTAAGATAAGAGAAGGAAATACATAGAGGAGGTAAAGATAAAAAAAGAAAAATATAGAAAGATATATAAGTAAAAGAAATAACTAAGGAAGAGGGTAAAGAAAAAGAATAGGTAGAAGATAATATAGGTACAAGGCAAAGGTATAAAGAAAGGACATGTTTAGAGTTAGAGGGGAGGAAAAGGGTTAAGTTTAGAGAGGAGAAGTAGACATAAGACTAAGGAGCAAGGTTTAATATAGATATAGGAATTAATATTATAAAGATAAGTAAACGTAAGACAAGGTTATTATAGAGACAGAAGAAGTAGGATAATTAAGAAGATAGTAAGAAGGCTAAGAAAAGAGTATAGTTATAAATATAATAGAGTAAGTAGAGAATATAAACAGTAATAGTTTAAAGAATATATATAGTTTATAGAGGTTATAAGAATATAGTATAGTTAGAAACATAAAGTATAAGGCAGTAGCAGGGGTATATAAGAAGGACTAAGAAAAGATAAAGAAAGTATAGAGATATAAAACACTAAGGAGAAGAAGAGATAAGAATATATAAAAAGATAAAGAGATAAATAAGACAAAGGGGGTAAATATAACTAAGGAGACAAGAAAGGTTAAGGATATATAAGTAAAAAGAGAGTAGGAGGGTAAATAGGTATATAATAGAGTTATAAGTTAGGGCAAGGATAAAGCTAAAAGCAGGGAGAAGGGCTAAGGAAGTAAAGAAGAAGGACAACAGAAGACAGAAGAGGCAGTAGGGCAGTAGGGCAGTAGGGCATAGAGAAAAAAGATAGTAAGTAAATAAGATAAAAGGAGAAAAGATAAAGAGAAAGATTTATAAGGAGACAGGTAAAATAAGGAGAAACAAAGGTAAAAAAAGATAAATAGTAGATATAGAGAGAAGGAGAAAAAAGGTAAATAGAAGAGGAGAAGACAGAAGTAAGGTAAAGAGAGTAGTAGACAAAGGTTAAATAAGGTAAAAGAGAAGAAGAGGTATAGATAAAGGATAAAAGCAGAAGGTAAAAGAGATAAAAGTATAGTAGTAAAATAAAAGAAAAAAACAAGGGGAGAAAGGTAGTAATAGGTAGGTAAAGCAAAGTAAATAATTAATAGGGGAAGTTTAAATAATAACAGAGGAAGAGCAAAAGAAAAAGTATAAAGTAAGCTAGAGAGGTAAAAAGGAGAAAGTAAAAGAAAAAGAAGAGAAAGTAAAAGTAATAATTAAAGAAGAAAAGGTTAAGGTTAAAAAGAAGAAAGAGGGTTAAGGTTAAAGAGGAAGAAAAAGGTTAAGGTTAAAGAGAAAGAGAAAAGTTAAAGGTATAAAGAAAAAAAAAGGTTAAGGTTAAAGAGAGAGAAAACAGTTAAAGTTATAAAAGGAAAGCAAGATTAAGGACTAAAAAGCTAGTTTTAATTTAGTTATAGTAGTAAATATTTATAAAGATAAGTGTATATAAGGTAAAGGTTAATATAGAGATTAAGGGAATAGGCAGAGGTATAAGGTAAAGAGAAGATAAGGATAAAGATAAGAAAGGAAGAGTATAAGAAGAGAAAGAAAAGAAAAAAAAGAGGAGCAAGAAAGAAGAAGGAGAATATAGAAGAGATATATAGGTATAGAGACAGGAAAAAGAAAAGAGGGTAAGAAAACAGATAAGCAAAAGGATAAGAAAAGACAGGAGAAGGTATAGGTACAAGGCAAAGTTATAGAGACATTAGAGAACAAAGGAGTTAAGAAGAAGGATAATATAAGACAGTAGCGGTTATAAAATAGAAAGTATAGTAGAGTTATAGAGATAAAGAATAAAAAGAGGACAGGAAATAGAAGATATAAGAAGGTAAAGAACAGTAGTAAAGGTTAAAGAAACTAAGTAAAGTTAAAGTTTAATAGGAAGCAAAAGGTTAAGGTTAGATAAGTAAAAGAAGGTAAAGGTTAAAGAGAGAGAAAGTAGTTAAAGATAAAGAAGTAAAGTAAGATTAAGGAGTAAAAAGTAAGTTTTAATTTAGTTATAGTAATATATATTTATTAAGACAAGTGTATATAAGGCAAAGAGAAGAGTTAGAGTAGTAAATAAGAAGGATAATAAAAGACAGTAAAAGTAGTAAAGTAGTAAGATATAGAGAAGACAAGATAGTAAGCAGATAAAGTAAAGAAGGGAAAAGACTAAGGGCAAGATTTAGTAAAAAATAGGTAAAAATAAAGAAGGGCAGAGGCTAAGAAGGATAGACAAGGGATATAAAAAGGAAGAGAAAAAGAGTAAAAAGAAGAGGGAATAGTAGGCAAAGGTTATAAGAGGAAAAAGAAAAGAAAAGTTTTAGGGGAGTAGTTAAGACAGAGGGCAAAAAAGTTATAAAGACAAAAAGAAAAAAAGAAAGGTAGCAGCAGGGAGAAAGTAAAGTAGAATAAAGAAGAAAGTAAAGAATAAGGATAATAGAGGAGCAAGAAGAAAAGCATAAAGTAAGTTAAAAAGGCAAAAAGGAGAGAGTTAAAGAGAAGGGAAGAAAGGTTAAGGTAATAAGGAAAAATATAAGGGTTAAGATTAGATTAGAGGAAGAAGGCTTACCCTAATGCACCCCCTAACCAGCACTAAAACCTTAACTAGCACTACTATATACCTAAGACACCTTACTAAGCATAAACATATACTATAGACAGTTACTAGATAGATAGTATTATAGATAACTACTTTAGCTACTACTAATAATAGCTACTACTATAGCCTACTACTACTATAGACTACTACTATAGACTACTACTACTATAGACAGCTACTACTACTCTAGACTACTACTACTATAGACAGCTACTACTACTATAAACTACTACTATAGACTACTACTACTATAGAATACTACTACTATAGACAGCTACTACTCCTATAGACTACTACTACTATAGATAACTACTACTACTATAAACTACTACTATAGACTACTACTACTATAGACTACTACTACTATAGACTACTACTACTATAGACTACTACTACTATAGACTACTACTACTATAGATAGCTACTACTACTATAAATAACTACTATAGACTACTACTACTATAGATTACTACTACTATAGATAATAACTACTATTATAAACTACTACTATAGACTACTACTACTATAGAATACTACTACTATAGATAGCTACTACTAATTATAATTATATCTAATACTTATAATAAAATAGTAATAAAAGTAAAACTTTATATTCTAAGTGTACTAGCTCTCTTACTCTAAAAAGGTCCTATTAGTATTAAAACCTTAGAGCTAATTACCTAAAAAGATTATTTACTAAAAAGTAAAATAAGACCTAACCTACTAAGGGTTTTCTAGAAAGACCTATTTCCTAGATAAAATATAAGCCTTACTAGTCTCCTTTGCTATACACTAGGTCTCTATATTAGTATTAGGCACTATATAGTAGTACTTTTAACGTTTTCTAGTCTTAACCTTAGTGTTACTTTTACTATTTTTATCTTTATCTTTACTCTAAACCTTATTATAGCTACCTTACTATTCCCTTAATTCCCTTAAACTCTACTTCCTAGTGTAAACTAATAAGTCTAAAAACCCTCCTAAAGTATTAGTAAAATACTAAACGCTAATAACTAGAGAGTAGGTTCTTAAGGCCACTAGTAAAATATTTTATTACCCCTATAGTATATTATACTATTATGTCTATAGTGTTACCCCCTTATAGGCATAGGGTTAAAGATTATAAGATTTTTCCCTTATAGACTACTAATCCTCTAGAAAGTGCTACTACTAAAACTAGTAATATAGCCCTATTACTTTACCCTACTAATAGGTATAACTACTGCTGCCTAATGTTCTTAGCTAACCCTATAGTAAAGCAGGCATTATTCCTAATCTAGCTGCCTAACTAAGTCTTAAAGAATCTAGCATAGGAGAGTTTACTCTTAAGGCTCTAAGTTAAGAATTAGGTAAAAGTAAGTCTTTTCTCCCTATATTCCTAGGCCTCTCCTAGTGCTTCTTATAGTGCCTTAATTACTATATTCTTTACTTAGGTATCTTTATAGCTAATAATACCTATAATAAACTATAAGGTATATATAGATAGACTAATGTCTAAGTAATTAGTATATTTATAATTTAGAGAATTAATATAAGTACCTATAGCCTTTGCTCTCTGTTCTTTATTATCTTAATAAGCTACCTTATAGTATAGCTAATTTATTTATTAGTAACTATTTAAAAGATATATTAGTAATTTACTTACTCTCCTTATACTATAGTTACTACTAGAGTAGCTATAGTACTTATTAAAAGCCCTAGTTATAATTAGGTAAAGTATAAAACCTCTTAGTATACTACTTAAGTAAAAAGGTAAAGCTAAAGACAAAGTATTAGGTTATCTTAAGCCTAGTAAGAACCTATTTATTTAAAAACAGTTAGTATAACCTTTTATTAATAAGTAATACTTAGCTAGGCTAGTACAAAAGTAATAAAGTAAGAAAATAATAATTATATATAGTAGTACTACTTAGTGCTAGTCTTTTTCCTAAGGGGACTATAGTTAACTATTAGTATTATTTATATAACACTTATAAAACACTTTAAGTAATATAAACCTTAATTAAACTACTATAAAAGTAAACTATTAGCCTAAATAGACTAGCTAGGCTAAGTACTATCTTTAACTAAGGCTAACTAATAAAGTATCTATATATAGGACATTTAGTTAGAATTACTAATAGGTAACCTATACCCCCTAAGTCCTTACTAAAGCATAAGGTAAATAAAACCTATATAAGTAAGCCCTAGAAACCCTAAGTACTATCCCTTTCTTAAGGGGACTTAG